ATGGTGGGGAGGGCCTTTTATGGCTAGGAAGGTTTAAACCTCCCCTCTCCAGTAAATATCTTTCCAAGCCTCCTATTATTATTTTTAAAAATCCCAGCTGGACTTTCAAATGACACACTAGGGTTACATCTAATTTAGCCTTTAAGTGAATACACCATATAGGAATGTCTCCAAACTTGACCTTTCTGTATGCAACTCCAACATCAACTATGGGGCATTCAGCAACTTCACATCTTACAAACTCTCCGAATCTCTTAGTTCATTGGTGGCGGAGATCAAGAGCTTCTCTGCTTGGAAACAGCCTTAATGATTAAACATTTTTGCTTCCGATTATCTTTACAATTAGTTGAAATCCCATCGATAGAGCATCATGCCCAGTTTCCTAATGAACACCACGTGGCTTTCCTTGCAGTTGTAATAACTTAATTAAAAATCTGGAGAAGAGAATGTGCTTGGGAGGGTACGAAGGAAATCCGTTCCATTTTCAGCTGAAGCAGGAAGCAGCAGTTGCAGCATGCATGCCTCACGCAGTACGACTTAACAAGGAATATTGCCAATACAGTGGAACCTTGGTTTTCGAACGTAATACATTCCGGAAGACCGCCTGACATCTGAAACATTCGAAAACCGAAAACTGAAAGTGGAAGCCTCAATACAATAGGGAAGCTCAAAATGGAAGCCGTGTAGCGTGTTCGGATTCTGAAAATTGTTCGAAAACCAGAGCAGTTACTTCTGAGTTTTTGGTGTTCGGGAGCCGAAACATATGGCAACGGAGGTGTTCAACAACCGAGGTCCCACTGTATTTACCAATACAGTCGTACCTCAGAAGTCAAACGGAATCCGTTCCGGAAGTCCGTTCAATTTCCAAAACATTTGGAAACCAAGGCACAGCTTCCAATTGGCTGCAGGAAGCTCCTGCAGCCAATCGGAAGCCATGGAACCTGTGTCAGATGTTTGGTTTCCAAAAGAACATTTGCAAACTAGAACACTCACTTACAGGTTTGTGGTGTTCAGGAGCCAAGATGTTCGAGTCGCAAGGCATTCAACTTCCGAGGTACAACTTTACTTCTGAAAATATGGATCTGGGAAGCATTTTAACCAGTTTCATCTACATTTGTCCATGCAATACCCAAAGGGGGTGGGGAATTAAATCTTACAATTCAAGTTTTTCGGGAATGAACGTTGCCAAGAGTCAATTTGCAGACACTTTGCTTGAGGATTATCACTTTTTCTCTTACCTGGACTGTTGCACGAGCACAGGGAACAAACTACCTCAAGAAGCCATAGCTTTGCACACCACAGTCGTCCTTACACAATGGGCTTAGCAGCTATTGGCCTGTGCCTGTGACGCTCAGTGAGGATAATTCATTTACTGTGAGAATGGGTCAGTCCTGAGTGCAGTGGGGAAGAGGAAGCAATTGAAGTTCTTGCTTTTCTGATTGGCTTACTTGACTGATTTATACAGTCTGTATGTGTTGTGTGTGTGCACATGTCCATATGCCCACATTGGCCCTACTCACCCATATAACCCTCAGACGGATGGCTGAAAAAAGGTTAGTAATCTCTGATATATTTAGTAATGGTCGTAAAATTTAACTGCTGTTTATGCATAGAGGAAGCAATTGGAAAATTGTGACATCATCACGATTAGCCAAGTGTCCACTTAAAACTCTAATATGAAAGGGAAAGTGGTTTATAATCTTTCTTTTTTAAAAAAAGTTTCAGCCTTCAAAGAGGATTTGCCCGGAATTGGGGCAAAACCATTTAAAAATGAATGGAATGTAAGTAATGTTCCTGGATTATCCAAGGACCGCTGAGCTGCAAACACTTTAGGATTACGATAATAAGGAGGAAATGTAGTAACTAGAGATTAAATGGCAGGTTATGGAAAGGAAGGTGTCACTGCTCGCTCGGTCTAAAATGAACGAATCTATACATCAGTAACTATTAAAGCAAATGAACAAGTTTTGACACCCTTGCCGTTTGTCCCTCTGGCCAATTCAGTTGGAAAATGCAGACAGGTAAGAATTGCACTGGTTTATTCAAAACCAAATACAGATTCATTGATGTGTGAAGCGCACCATAACAAGGGAACACACATTTTGCCACTGAAAAATTCAAGAAAAGAAAGCACTAGCTGAGTGGGATCAATTATTTACCCTACAGTGCCACCTGGTGGAGTAAACTTGCTAATGTTTTCAAACACACTTTTCTTAATGTCCAACTCAAGAAATAATACTGTCAGGGAATACTTGTATTACAGGGCGCCTCAGAATCCTAAGAACCAGAAAATAAAAAGGAATGCAGTGAAAGACACAGCCCAACCCTATGCATGTTTACATAGCACACTCTGATATAGATTTGACAATGCAGTCGTGCTTATTCTCAATCCTAAAGTACCTTAGAGCTCTGCTTGGCCTTTTGGAAGTTGCCCTTGCAAGTAAACATGGTTAGAGTTAGACTGACTGAGGTTATGGGATAGTCATGTGTCTCCAGGTGTGTCAGACTCCAGGGATTCTCTCCTCCCCCCTCCCCCCCCCGGCAGCCTCCAGGATCAAAGAAGAAACAAGGAAGTTCATATTTATGGTTTTATTCAGCAATCAGGGAGCAAGACGAGGGGACTAGACCTGGATACCATCATGACGTTGCTCACTCTGAACCCCTCCTTTTCCTTCCCCAACAACACACCGTGTCCCTGCGGAAAGTCTCAAGGGTCACACGTCTCTGCATTATTCCCTCTTGAATCCGAATTGACCGGCACGTCCTTGGAGAAGGAGGAGTTCCTGGGTTCTCCAAGGATGTGTCTGCTATCTGTTCCCCAACCCCCCTCCTTCTCCCAATACCTTGCAACTTGGCAGTTCTCTGTCCTGTCATGAATCAGTCCTGTCTCTGTCTCTTCTTGCAGCTACTGGAGAATTGGGGGGGGGGAGATTCTTCCCACTCCCCATCCTCCTCCAAAAGAGGCAGAGGGGAAGGAGGGGGTATTTCCCAGCCCTCCTCTTCAGACCAGTCCCTGACAAGGTGTGACAATACCTAATTACAGTGGTACCTTGGGTTAAGAATTTACAGTGGCGCCTCGCAAGACGAAATTAATCCGTTCCGCGAGTCTCTTCGTCTTGCGGTTTTTTCGTCTTGCGAAGCATGGCTATTAGCGGCTTAGCGGCTTAGCGGCTATTAACGGCTTAACGGCTTAGCGGCTATTAACGGCTTAGCGGCTTTAAGAAGAGAAACAAACTCGCAAGAACTCGCAAGACGTTTCGTCTTGCGAAGCAAGCCCATAGGGAAATTCGTCTTGCGGAACGACTCAAAAAACGGAAAACTCTTTCGTCTAGCGAGTTTTTCGTCTTGCGAGGCATTCGTCTTGCGGGGCACCACTGTAATTCATTCTGGAGGTCTGTTCTTAACCTGAAACTGTTCTTAACCTGAGGTACCACTTTAGCTAATGGGGCCTCCTGCTGCCGCCACGCGATTTCTGTTCTCATCCTGAAGCAAAGTTTTTAACCCAAGGTAATATTTCTGGGTTAGCAGAGTCTGTAACCTGAAGCGTCTGTAACCTGAAGCGTCTGTAACCCGAGGTACCACTGTATTTAAACAGGCTCAGTACATGGGTTGTATCCAGAGTTAGTCGTTACTGGGTGCTAACCCAACTGAAGTTAATAGGCACAACTAACTTAGCTTCATTCATTTCAGTGGGCCTACGAACTTAGTTGGATGCAGCCTCGTGTTGTAAATGCAAGAGATGAAAGGAGAGGCATGAGTAACAAGAGGTAACCGAATCATAGAATTGTAGAGTTGGGAGAAACCTTGAAGTTTATTGGGTCCAATTCCCTGAAATGCAGGACTCTCAGCTAAAGCATTCATGACAGATGGGCACCCACTATCAAGGGACTCAGTAGCACTGTCAAAACAGCTTTTACTGCCAGAAAGTTCTTCCTGGTGTTGACTCAGAATCTCCTTTCTTATAACTTGAAGCCATTGGTTTGGGTCCTACCCTATGTATGGAGCAGGAGAAAATAAACTTGCTCCATCTTGCATGTGACAGCCCTTGAGATATTTGAAGATGCCTATCACATCCTCAGACAGTTTGACTTCCAGAACCGTTATCATCTTGGTTGCCCTCCTCTACACACATTCCAGCTTGTTCATACCCTCAGCACACCAGTAACATTTAATATATGTATTGGGGCAATGATAGCAGTTAAATAAGCACAACAGTGTTTGTAATTAAAGGCCTTCAAATCAGATATGGTTGCCCTTTGCAACCACTGGGAGGCAGCAGCAGCCTAGGTTTGATTTCTTTGCATAGACACTCTATGCCTATATCAAACCACAGACGCTCAGGTGTGCTAGGGATGGGTAAGTATGTCAATTGCAATTTCTTGCAGTTTCTCAGTTTTCCAATAAAAAATTCAGTTCGCCACATCAGTTTGCATTTGTTTTTTTAAATGTCATCATGAAAATTCCCCAGCTTTTGTGTGCAGTTTTCTTCTTATGTGCAATGCTGCCCCCTTTTTTACAAAAGGATTTCCCCCTGAAACAATTCATTTTTGTATGTCATTTTCACTCATATAGGCATTCATATGGATAATTTACCCCAGCACATGCATTTTTTGCACCCATTTCATGCCTGGAAAGCTGCCCTGCAAAATTCAGTGTGAATTTTGAAGGATGGCTCTGTTCAGACTCTCATATCATTTCAGAAAGTGTGGATTAGGTGAGTTCACCTTTAAATGTGAGCCCTATTGAATTTCTCCCCCCATCCCCAGCTGTGTCTCCGTCATTAATTGCTGCAGGAAATTCAGCCAGGCTAAAAGCTGGAGGGGGGACGCTGGCAATGGTTAGGCCTCTGCTCATGTCCTGGAAGAATAATTAATTCTTGTCTCCAAATACAGAGATCGTCCCATCCACCAAATCATCCAAAATGAAGTGGGTGTCTCTATGTCTGCTCATATGATTGCAGACACTCACAGGTGGAGAAATGGTTCATCGCTATTTACAGTGTCACCTTCATTTTGTGGCACAAGGGGTCAGTGCATCTGGCTGTTATCCAGAAGGTTGGCGGTTCAAACTTGTCCAGGGACAGCTGTGGACAGGACTCCTGCATTTCAGGGGCCTGGACCAGATGACCCTTAGGGTCCCTTCCAACTCTACAATTCCATGATTCTAACCCTGCTCCTGTGTCTTTAACAACAGCCTAAGATGCTGAAATTATCCAGCAGCAATTTACCTACTTAATAGCCCCGCTCCCTGCTTCGAAACAGGGCTAGAAAGAAGATGCCAGCCTTAATTACATCATGTCTATTCTCATGGGAGATGACACCTTTTGAACGACTCTTGTTCCTTTACCAGACATTCTACCGGTTTACTTTTTACCAAGCAAAGGTGCTCTAATGGGGTGGTGCTGTGGTCTAAACCACTGAGCCTCTTGGGCTTGCTGATCGGAAGACTGGTGGTTCGAATCCGCACGACGGGGTGAGCTCCCATTGCTCTGTCCCAGCTCCTGCCAACCTAGCAGTTCGAAAGCACACCAGTGCAAGTAGATAAATAGGTGGCAGGAAGGTAAATGGCATTTGCCTGCACTCTGGCTTCCATCACAGTGTTCCATTGTGCCAGAGGTGGTTTAGTCATGCTGGCCATATGACCTGGAAAGCTGTCTGTGGACAAACACCAGTTCCCTTGGCGTGATGAGCGCCACAACCCCACAGTCGCCTTTGGCTGGACTTAACCATCCAGGGGTCCTTTACCTTTTACCTAATGGGGGGCGGGAGTGCACTGTTGCCTGATGTGCATCTATTAAAACCACACAGACCCTGTCAGGAATGGGGTGGAACCTGCGATACTTGGTGATGCCCATCAGAAAGCAGGAGGGATGGCGGAGGCATCGGACAGCAATACTGATACAATGGAGAGCCAGCCATCTTTTGCACGAACGTGGGCCTGAAATTCCACAGAGAGTTGTTGTTCTCCGTGCTCCTCCTGAGAGTCTCTTGAATCAAAGTTTTCTGCAGACTTGAAGTGAATTGTCAGGAAATGACAGCATAATGAATAGCCTAGCATAGCTGAGAGAAAGCTTTGGCTTCTGTAATTGGGAATGTGAGATATAGAGATGCTGTTGGAAAGGAAATATTCTCGCAGCTCCTACCATTCCAAATGAAGAACACTGCTAAACTCAAAACAGCACTAGACCTGTAGTTCGGCAATTTGTGATGCAGAAGGATCTTTTGGAACATGCATGGAAAGGTCACTCATCCTTCTGAAATTGTTCAGCCACAAATACAGGATGTAGTTTGGGGTGGGGGGGAGAGAAAAATCCAGATTGCTTGCCTTTACGTGTATTTTCTCCCATGTATTTCCTTTTTTAAATACTTATGAGTTTGGAGTCTTTGATGGATATGCATGTTGCTTTTAGGTGCTCTCTCTCTCTCTCTCTTTTGCATAGGAAGCAGCAAATGAAGGACATGGATAATCCTAATAACGGCTCAAAGAAAAAATGGGCCACTTTTGACCATGCCTCAGATCTTCATCCCCTCAGTGCATTGCTCTCTCCCCCCCTCCCCCTACATTTCATCTTCACAATGTGAGGTAGGTCAGGCTAAGAGATAATGGCTGGCCCATGGTCTTTCCGTGAGTGTCATGGCTGAGGAGGGATTTGAACCCGGATCTGTATATCTTTTCCTGCTTTGCAGGGAGTTGGACTAGATGATCCTTTGGGTCCCTTCCAACTACAGTGGTACCTCGGGTTACATACACTTCAGGTTACAGACGCTTCAGGTTACAGACTCTGCTAACCCAGAAATAGTACCTCAGGTTAAGAACTTTGCTTCAGGATGAGAACAGAAATCATGCTCCAGCGTCGCGGCAGCAGCAGGAGGCCCCATTAGCTAAAGTGGTGCTTCAGGTTAAAAACAGTTTCAGGTTAAGAACGGACCTCCGGAACGAATTAAGTACTTAACCTGAGGTACCACTGTATACAGTTCTATGATTAAGCATCAGACTTAGTGCCTAAACTGTTGAAACATACAGGAGGACAGAGGCTTGTGCAAGGGTAAAGTTTGTGCCATGCCTGCAAATCAATTTCTTGCTTTTTTGTAATTCAGAAGCAGAGCACTTGCCAGCAACTCCAGTTAGTACCCATGGCTTATTCTGGAAGGCTGCTGGTGTTCACATGCCACACAAAAAAGAATCACCTTTTTTACGGATCACTTTTTGAAATCTGCTTCCCTTGCCTTAATATAAACCTGTTTCTTTCTTTGGAGACTATTTCCACTGTCTTTCTGCAGTAGCTGAATAGAAGCGTCCCCCTTGCAACCATGCATGGCTAGTTCACAAAAACAACATTCGCGAGATGAAGCGGAAAATCAAGTCTAGTCTCCTGTGCTAATGATACATATACATTTAAAAATAAGAATCTTGCGTTTCTCAGACATGCAGTCAAAGCAGCAGAAAACTGCTCCAAAGCCTATGAAAAACCATATTATATAACCTCTGTAATTAGGCTGCTTTTAATTACACTGGTCCCTTTCCCTGATCAATTTGTGACTTTTAGGTCTGTAATTAATCTTTCAGAATGTCAGACAGCTCACAGCACATTTATCTCTTTGTCACAAGGCACACCCCTATCAGTTTTGCCCTGTGTCCTCTATGTGGGCTTCATTATTTTAAACTCAGCTTGTGTGCCTCTCAAACAAAGTTTTGTCGTTGTTCTTAGTATTACACGGCTATATATTTTCTAAAAGTGTTTGTCCGCTATGCGTTTGGACACCTGTTACAATATCGTAATCAAATTTTGCATGATTTCCCCTGAGAACTGGATTTTGCCTATGTTTGGGTGCCATTTTGGATCAAGATGGCGGATGGAACATTTCCAAACTGCACTGATCTCAATCCCTGATTTCAAAACTGATCTGATTTGCTGGTTTCTTGGAATCCCCGAGGCACACTGTGCACGAGGCTGCTAGTACATTATAAAAGGAGCTGCTAGAGAGGCTATCTTCTGAATTGAATGCAAATGCTGCAGACAACTGGGAATTTGGGGAATGTTTCTTTACTGAAATGTACAGTTACTTTGACAGGCCCCCTAAAGCCTTGGCAAGAATGGGAGCTGCTACTTCTTTTTAACTGCATGGGGGAGGGTGGGGCTGAGGGAGGCAGCTGAGGTGTGAAATGAGGGAGGGAGGAGAAAGGTAGGCCAGAAGATTCATTAGGAAGCACTGCACAGGTAGCTGATACTGCACACCTGTGTTTTATTTCAACTTGCTTTCCCAAAGTGACTATGATGAGATTGGCAGTGGGCTCAGGCACTGATGCCACCATGGGGATTTGGGGGGTGAATAAGGCATTGGAGCACTACAGGGAGGTTGAGTTTCCCTCCTGTAGCAGCCACCTGTGCCCTCACACTGTTCCAGAGAGTCCTTCCATCATCAGGAAAGTCTTTGGGGGCCCACAGGGAAAGGAATACAGAGGAGGAACTAGGAAAGTCCTTTTGTGTTTGTGGAACTGGGCTCACACTTCCTGGATCCAATCCATTATTTCTATTGTTGCATTTATTCTTTCAGTTTGCTGTGCTTCTGAAAAAGCAAGATCTCTAAGAGCCATTGATAACAACATGATAGATTATTGAAGAAGTGTTCTTACTTGGTTTATTTCCTAGGGCCAAAAGGAGGAAACTTCAGCAGAAAATGATTAGCAGAAGAGCATAATTAAAGGGAAGAAGTGATTTACAAGGATGGTGACAATCAATAGTAAGGGAAGAAAACAGCAGAAATGATTGCTCGAGAAGGGAAGACAGACAGAAATCGAAAAGTTAAGTAGCAGTGGGCAATGCAAGTTGTGACATTTCAATCAAACTGGATCATGGTGAAATTTTGGATCTGTGGTTACATACAAAACTTTCAGAATGATCAAGTGAATGTTCTGAATAATTTCTTTTATGTAAATGACAGATGGAAAACCAGAAGTCCTTTTTACTTTTCTTTATTTCTTTTCTTCCTTTCTTTCATTTTTCTTCTTTCTTCTCTTTCCTTTGGTGTCCTCTGCTCTGGGCCACTATTCGGACCCAAGGATTTCACACACATGAAGGTGATGGTTGGTTGGTTGAAGGACCTTGCGTGAGAGGCAGGGTAGGGAAGATCTCCCAGGGTGAGAGACTGAGAGAAGAAAGGCAAGTTCCCAGCTGGGAGGGTCGACTCCTTTCTGTGTGAGACAAGGGTTACGACCTATCCTTGAGAGAGGACTCTGCATTTTCTTTTCTCTTTCTCTCTCTGTTTTGGTTTCTATTTACACTAGTTTATTTTATTTTATTGCAGTATGGAAGAGCTTTAATAAAATCTTATGGGGGAAAAAGAATGATCAGATCAAGATCTGGGTATTAGATGACCACACAGAATATTAGCAAGGTCAACTTGTGAAATGGGAGAATGTATGAAGAATGGAGTCAGATTTACCCTTCTTGAGTTCCAGGATACATCTACAAAAGAGAGTTGACTTCTTGGTTTCCCTCCCCTCTTCCACACCAATACTTTATTAAGATGTTCATTATCCCTATCAATGCATCATAAAAGGAGGCACATTCCTGACATCTCCTGTACACAGCCATTGTTTCCCCTGTGCTGTCCCAACAACACCATCCTTCCTACTAGAAAATGGCATGCCTGGTCCCTTTACTGACATCCATTGTATGCTGTCGGGGACGGTTTGTCTCTTTTTTGGCAGAGTCCCTGATTGCATATATGCTATCTACATGTACACAGTTGAATACATGCAGCCTTTATTTACTTTCAGATGTATGTGTAGAATTTTGGAGGGGGAACAGGGAACATGATCCCAATCACAGACCCACACCCTGCTGTCTGAAACCATATTTTCCATTTACGTGGGGAGGCCTATATGTGTACAGTTTGCATGTGATCAGTCTTTATTGAGGATTTCTCCTCCTCCTCCTCCTCCTCCTCCTCCTCCTCCTTCCAGGGCAGTTATATGAAAATGAGCATTCATCCAGCGGCCTCTATCCTGATTTGCTTGTGGAATGTTTACCTGTCTTCCCACCGTTCACTCATCTGACACTTTTCAGTGTGTTTCCATGT